CCTCTCTCCCTCTCACCCTTGCTTTCCCACTAGAACACTTGTTTCCTCAGTAAGCAGTCAGTCACTTTAGAAGACATGGGATTAGCTAAAGAATTGGCTCTTGAGGGAACCCATCAAAATGACAGACTGACCTCCGTCTTGGCGCAGAGTCAATGAGAGAATAAATCCCTTGGGAGCAGGTGGTGGACGAGGGCAGATGAAGGACACCCCTTCCTACTTCCCTGGACTTTAAGCTCTTTTTGTGAGGAAAGTCTGTCCAAGTAATTAATGGAAGTAATTGGGGGTCAGATGGTCACAAATTAAAAACACTCAGCACAGTCACGATGCCAAGACTGTTTGTGCCAGGCAGACGGGGCTGGCCTGATGTGTCCTAGCAGTGTGACCCAGGACCTTGTTGTCCCTGCTTTGAGGGAAAAATCTCTGGTGAGGTCCACGGTTACGTCCAAAATCAGCAGCCGAGGCTACAAACAGGAGCACCGACACAGCTCCTGACAGCACTGTAGCCCCTAGCTCAGAGCTGGATCCTCTGAGTCTTCTGCAAGGCAAAGAGGGCCAGTGTTCGTCACTGCTCTTCTTGGCTTCATTCCTCACAGGGTACGGGTGGCTTTCCAACCCTTGAAAGCCAAAGCTAATTTGTCACTCATCTCTCTGCTTGTTCACATATCACCCGTTCGCCCACCCACCCATCCATCCATCCAACCCTCCCGCCTACCCACAACCTTTCTCTGTACAGTCCGCTCACCTGGCTGTGCACTCATCTGTCCGTGCATCACCCGTATGCGGCCCAGCAGTTTCCTATCCACCCATCGGTTTTTAAATTTCCCCATAACCCTCCTATCTACCCATGCATCCACTTGGTCCATATAGCTACTGGCCCATCAATCCGCCCATCCTTTTCCCCAGACACCATCTATTTACTCTCCCATGTGCAAGCCACCCCATCAACTCCTCCATCCACGTGGCCATGTAGCTGCTCTTCACTCATTCATCATGTGCAGCACCCCTCCCCCATCAATCTACCCTTCAACTCATCCACCACACAGAGCACTCTTCCCTTCACCGGCCCACCTGTTTTCATGGATCAGTGTGCAACCCACACAACCACCCATATTTCATCCATCTATCCACCCCGCCACCGTCGACCGGTTCATCTCCTCCACCCGTTGACTTCGCAAATATTTGTTAGGATCATGTCAAATTCAAGGCAGGCCTTTGCTGGGCATGGGTGGTGAGAAGAACAACCATAGACCTTTGCTCCTGCAGCTTATGACATAGTCCAGAAGAGTTGTGCATGAGCAAGCAACATCCCACCTGACAACCAGAAGAACAAAATAAGGCAAGAGGGGACTACAGTTCTCCTGAGAAACAGGACATCTGCACATCTGCACATACATATAAATACATACGTGTGTGTATGAAGATATATCCGAGGGGTTTACAGGGGAATTGGCTCACTTATTTATGTAAGCTGAGTCCCACCATTTATTATCTAAAAGCTGGAACTCCAGGGAAGCCAATGTCTCAATCTGTGTCCAAGGACCTGAGATAGAGCAGCTAACAGTGCAAGTCCAGAGCCCAAAGGGTTCAAGGATAGAAGATGACAGCCCAGCGCCATAAGGCAAAGAATGGATCCACCTTCTCTCTGCCCTTTCCCCCACCCCTCAGCTATGAGCTGAGCTTGTCCACACTGCAAGTTTGTGACCAAGCATTGACTCCGCCCAGACACACCCTCTCAGACACACCCAGAGAAGATACTATATCAAAGCATCTTTTAGCCCAGGCAAATTGACATTCAGCTTTAGTCATCACAGAGGGTGACAAGTCAAGGTTTTCCTGGGCTGAGCTTGGCAGAAGAGGCCCCTCTGATGAGTTTCTATTGAGGTGAGAATTGAGGGAACAATGATCTAGGGAAAAAGGAGACCTGGGGGACTCAGACAGGATCCCCCTAGCCCCAGCCCGGACAAGCTGGGATTGTTCAAGCTTCATGAGAAGGCAGAGAGCCCAATGGTGTGAGTGACTGGAGAGAGAGAGATGCAAGGAGGCTGGACAATCCCAGTTTTACAGGACTATCCTCTGGGCCAAACTGTCACCCTCTTCTGGAATGCCTAAGGCCCTCTTGCAAAAGAAAATGACAGCTGGGCCTTATTGTCTGTGGACATCTTCTCACAGGGGGAACAGGCAGGGGGAGTCGTTGGACCCCCACTTCAGTACCCAGCCACCCTCCCAACCAGTTGTATGCAATTCTGCTCTAATTGCAGGTGGCCTCCAGGTCTCAGGAGAGATGGTATGGGTGAGGAGAGCCCCATCTGTGCAGCCACAGGAAGTTGTCACCCCTGATGGGCGAAGCCCTTTCACCATGACTGCTTTAAGATTGCCCATGCTCCCACCATTTTCTTTGTAAAGAAGCCTAATGAACTCTTCGGCTCACCTGGGTGACCTTTGGGGGAATTGTGCCTCCTGCCTCGGTTTGTCATTGGTGAATGCTGTTTACCTATCTCCCAGGAAAGGGCTCTTCCCTCAGAGAAGCATCACAGCTTAAGAACCAGCAGGCTGTTCCCTGGACTCTGAAGAGAAGACTATTATATTATTCCTGAATGTGACAAGCTCCTTCAGGCTTGCTCTCTCCAGCTAAGGGCTCATTGCTAACTGTGGACAAACATGAACTCATGCAACACCTAAGGGCCCATGATGATCAGCTGCAGTTTGCCTCTTTGGCCTGCTCGGCGGAAGGTACCTGCTTCAAGCCCACTAAGGCGCTGATGTTGCCTTAGAAACCAGATGCATGATGCTTATTTACTTCCCAGCCGCTGTGAGAAGTCAACCCCTCTGCACAAGAGCATGAAGCTGGCAAGTAGAGGGGTGACTGGGGATCACCAAGATTTCGGGGGATAGAGAAGAGGAGAGAGAGACTAGAAGGAAAGAAAGAGGGGAGGTGGCTAGGAAGTAAGAGAAGAGGAAAAGCAGGATTCAGCTTGAAGCCACCTAATCAGAAGCCTTCTGGGAGGTCATGGTTAGCATCAGATGTCAAGTTGCATGACATGCGGGTTGCCTGGTGCTCAGATATGTGCTTAGTCCCAAGTGTGTCTACTGCAGCTATTTTTGGCCAAAAGCAACACTTGAATAGATCGATGAATTGGGCAATAAGACGCGAGTATCACCCAACCCATTCAGGGCCTGAGTAAATCACAAAGGCAGCAGAGGCCAAACCTACTCTCTCTGACTGCTGGACTAGGCGGTCTACTGCCCTGGTCTGGGATCGCAGCATCAATTCTCCTGTCTCCGGCTTGCCAACTACAGAACGTGGTACTTGTCCTCACCCACCTATGCAAGCCGGCTCCTTCAATACATCTCTTCATACAGCTCTTGTACGCCATATTTCACTGGAGATCCCCGATGCATACAACATCCAGCCTCTCTGGACTGCCTCCATGAGTTACTCTCTGTCCTGGGACTTCATTTATTTCCTATTGGAGCTTGCTACTGCTTCCCAAGTGACAGGTGTTTTTTGTTTTGTTTTGTTTTGTTTTGTTTTGTTTTCCTTTGTATAACAGAGTCTATCTTTCTAATGCGCTGTGCACATGTGGTCCAGCCCTCTCCAGAACTTGTCATTCAGCAAGTGCTCAATAACGATCATGGAGGCAGAAGACTTCTCTCTTCCTTTGTGTGTGAGCTTATGTGCACCGTGTGCAGGTAGGAGCCCCTGGAGGCAAGAAGGAGGCATTGGATCCCCTACAACTAGAGTTACAGGTGGTTGGCAGCTGCTATACAGGTGCTCAGAACCAAAGCAGGGTCCCCTGCAGAACAAACAGATGATCTGAACTGCTGAGCCATCTCTCCAGTCCCCAACCTTTTGCCCTAATGAGAGAATCTCATGAAGCCAAGACTAGCCGTGAACTCCTCATCCTCTTGTCTCTGCCTCCCAAGCGCTGGGATTATAGGAACGCACCGTCACACCTGGATTTTAAGGTATACTTTGGAAACAACAAACTAGTGGGTCCCTAAATCATCCTGCTGTTTCTCGTGAGCATCTCGTCCAGGCCTTGGCGCCCGGCCCTACTCAATATTGCCAGCACAAGTCATCTTGCATTAACCCACTGGGGCTCGTGTCATGTTTGCTTCAAATTGTCTCTGAAGCAAAGTGCTATCTCCCTCACTCCAGAAAACACTGTCACAGCCTATGTTCCAAGGAAATGTCATGCATACCCCGAGGCCACTGATGCCACCGACGGAGGCTGTTCAGAGGCTATGTCCCTGTGTTAGGTTTTTGTTCATTTGTTCTGTTTTTGACACAGGGTCTCACTTGTACTGTGTGGCCCAGCCAAGCCTTAAACTTGAGGCAATCCCCCTGCCTCTACTTCCTGAGTGCTTGCTGGGATTTCAGGTATATGTTTGCATGCCAACTTTTTAAAGACAAGGCTTTTACTACATAGCATGTACCCCTGGCTGGCCTGTAACTCTCTATGGGGCTCATAGAGCTCTGCCTGCTTCCTCAGACTGAGAGCTCTACCTGTTTCTGCCTCATGAGTGCTGCGATTAAAGGTGTGTGGCATCACATCTAGCTTTTGGTTGTTTTTGTTTTGTTTAATGAGCCTTTTGTTGGTCCCATGCAACCTGCTCATGAACCTCCTCCTGGCTTCTGGGAGAGTTTCCCAAAGGGCAAGTCTAAAACCATACCACCACAGAGATCTCCTTAGCTGTTGAATGAAGTGGGACTCTGGAGGGGAAGCACCCTGGTGGAGCTACAGGGGGAGAATGACAGCACAGTAGCCATCACAACTTGACACAGTGATTATCAGTCCTTGCCAAACAAGTGCCTCTCAGGATAAGGGCTGGAGTCAGGTGATGCCAGCATACTACAGGCACCCTTGACAAAGTCCAACCTCTCATTTTTTGGTAACGCTTCAGCTAAATATGGTGCCCTGGTTTCCTTGAGCTGCTTTACAAAAAAAAAAAAAAAAAAAATCACAGACGTGAAGACTTATAAATAACAAACATTTATTTCTTACAGCTCTGGAGGCTAGAAGTTGGAGGTCGGGTACCAACATGGTTGAGTTCTTGTGAGGGACCGCTTCCTGGTTCATAGACCCTCTGGCTGGGTTCTCACCTGGTAGAAGGAGCAGGGAGGCCTCCAGAGTCTGTGTTATAAGCTCACTAAATGCACTGAGGATGACTCCGTCCTCATGACCGAACCATTTCCAAAGGGCCCTCTTCAAAACACCCTGAAGGAGTGGGTCCCTAAAACATCCCCAGGAGCTTCCTGTGAGCCTCTGTCTCAGGTATCAATCAGCTCCCAGCCTGGCTCAGTGTTCCCAGCTCAAGTCACCTCAAATCAACCTACATTCATCACGTTGGGTGTGAGGTATCAGCACAGCGACAGAGGGGAGACACAGACATTGCCTATTGCATGTGCATTTGTTTGTTCTTGGTCTAACATCCCTAGGCTGCTGGGACCTTCTACGGAAGAAGAGCATTCCTGCTCCCATAGAGAATGGACTGAGCTTGAATGGCCGCTGAGAGCAATGTTGTCATTTAGGAGAAAGATGATTCGTGGTCCATAGTGTGGCTTGTGATAAGAACAGGGCAAATACTTCTGAGGTCAGAAGCTGTGAGCTCTCATGTCAGCTTAGGAGGGGTGTAAAGCTGTAGGTCATGAAGCCCAACTTGATTTTCTTCACACACACACACACACACACATGCCCCAGCCTGGGAGGTGGGCTCTGCGCAGGAGTAGCTCTCTCTGTGCTTCCTGCATCTCTACTCTGCTGACTAGGCTCTGGGATCAGCTGTCCCAGCAAGTGCTTCTAGGCAAACTCCATCCGGTCCACTGCCCGGAGTGAGGGGACGCTTCCGTCTTCAGCATCTGTCTCCCTTGGAGAGGTGCCACCGGCTGAGTGTGGGAAAGCAGAGAGCAGGAAGAGGTGGATCAGTCATCCTCATCGTCATCTTCATCCTCCGTGTCCTTGTTGGGGGCGCACCTCTGGAAACACTGCACCACAGTGGCGAGGAAGAAGCTGGAGATGATGGCAGCAATGGACACAGCGACGCCCGAGAAGATGATGATGAAGAGGTCTGTGAGGGACAAGCTAAACTTACACTCGCTGAAACTGGCTTCTGACAGCTCCCTCAGGGCTACCCTCCGGTCCTCCATGGGCAGCGAACACTGGATGGCATCGAGGCCTGGGGAGAGATGGGTGGGATGGGAGAGGGTTAGGCTGCGGCCCACGACTGCTCAGAAGTACCTCAGGGGAGGAATTCTCACAACACCTGCTTTGGTAACACAGCTTCACCAGTTTACATGTAGGCTTGGGGGCCCAGGCATTCAGCTCTGGAGACTTCCTCTTACCTGTAGATAGATCTGTAAGGTGAGATTTTTCCAGGGAGAAAATGGGAGACATCATTTTGACAGGAAGCTTAGCAAGAGTCAAGGCTTGCTTCCTTTTTGTTGTTGTTTTGTTTTTTGGTTTTATTTTCATGAGATAGGGTTTCTCTGTGTAGCTTTGGCTGTACTAGACTCGCTTTGTAGACCAGGCTGGTCTCAACTCACAGAGATCCTCTCGCTTCTGCCTCCCTGAGTGCTGGGATCACAGACTAAGGCCACCGCAGCCGGCCCACTTGCTTACAAATGCTTTCAAATTCTCAGAAAAGCCTCACATTCCCTGTTTCAGTGTTTCCAAGCCTCAAAGAGCTTGCCCTCACCCCTCCCAGCATCGCCTCAAAGTCAAGATGTTTTCTCATCTTGTGTCCAGCAAAGAGCATTTTCACTCACTGCCCAGCACCCCCAAACCATCCTTGGGGTTCTTACCGATACGCTTCTTTCACTCCGGCTCAGAAACATAAAGTGGAGAAAAATATCTGAGCTTCCTCCCTCCTATAGTCTCATCCCATCCCTTACACATCCACAGCCATCCCACCCATGTATTCCTCCCAAGGGAACAGTTGCCTAGCAACCATACTGCACTCTTTCCTCTTCCTAAATCAATGTAGCTGCTTTACAGACCCAAGATTTAGACAACCAGAGCTCTTTGGTTTATACTTGGCCACAGGCTTTCATTTTCCATGTTATATTATATTATATTATATTATATTATATTATATTATATTATATTATATTATATTATATTATATTATATATATTATATAATATATAATTTTTTATCCTGAGGCAGGGTCTCACTGTGTAGCCCTGCATGGCCTGGAACCCACTATGTAGACCAGGTTGGCTTAAAAAATCACAGAGATATGCCTACTTCTGCCTCCCAAGTTCTGATGTATTAAAGGCCCGTGTCTTTTATAAGGAAGCCACATATGCTTTGCCCTTGCTCATCCTAGGCAAGCACAGTGCCATCGAGCTACATCCCAAGCCCTTGACTCTCTCTTAAGAAGATAAAACTTCAGGGCTGGGATGTAGCTCAGTTGGGATAATGCTTGCTTAATGTGCACAGAGCCTTGGTTTCTACATCAGGGTGGCATGGTGCATGCCTGTAATATTAAAACTTGCAAGCAGGAAGATTTGGCCAGCCTGAGCTACATGGAATCTTGTCTAAAGACAAAATCAAAATTTAATGTGGGACTGGAGTATAAAAAAAACAATTATTAACCTATTGTACTTGTTGTTTTGGAGGCTTATCGCCTCTGTCTGCTAACCTAGGCCTAGTCCCGGAAACTTGTAGACTCCATACAACCTAACCTAGGCCTAGAATGCTTCCAGCCTCTGAGGCTTGCTTCTTACTAAACTCATTCTTTCTTGTTCTTACTGAGCTCTGTGCTGGCTGGTTCGACTTAGCTATTCAGGCTCAAATGCCTCTCCCAGCTGACTTATTCAATCTGGCCTTTCTCTCAGCCTCTAAATTGCTCTGTTTGGTCTCAAACTATCTCCAGCAATCCTCTCTAATCTCATTCTCTGGCTCATTCCGTCTTCACCTGAGTTTTCTCTCTGCAACTGTTTCTCTATTACTAACTAAAACCTGCCTCCCCCCCCCCCTCTCTCTCTCTCTCTCTCTCTCACTGTCTCTCTCTCCCTGCATTGCCCCTTAGGTAGCTTCCCTTTCCTCTCTATTATGTCAAGTCCTTTTCTGATTCATCACTGTTTCAGCCACTCAATAAGACATCACTTTCAACATGGGCGCTTCCTTCTACAAACTAACTTTACCTGCATTGTTTGGGATTAAAGGCTAAAACCACCTCACTTGGATCTAAGTTTTTCTTTACCTGAAACTTGCTCTATACCAGGCTGGCCTTGAACTCAGATCTGCTTGCTTCTGTCTCCTGGATGAAAGGTCTGTTTGTATTCCAGCTGAATCACACAGACCTAGAAGGTCTTTGGATGTGATCTCTTGACAGAGCAGCCATGTTCTGAATTAAAATTCCTCTACACTGGAGGGATAGCACAGTGGTTAAGAGACTTCTTTCTGCTCTTCCAAGCACCCAAGTAGGCTTCTAGCACCCATGTCAAGTGACTCACAGCTGCCTATAACTCCAGCTCCAGGGGATCTATAATTCCAGCTCTAGAGACTCTGATGTCCACCTCTGGCCTGCACACACACACACACACACACACACACACACACACCACACACACACACACACACACACACACGGTGTGCGTGCACAGGCACACACAATTGAAAATTTTAAATTAGGCATACTTTTAAAAAAAATCAAGCTTTTACCTACTTATTCTGAGCATTTGAAAAGCATTTGGGCCAATCAGGAAAGCTTTAAGATTTCCATAGTGAGGCTCCCCTGCAGACATCCATTTCTGGAGTGTTAAAAGTCAGTCAACCTGCCTCTTCTTGGTAGCTACGCTAGCCTCTAGCCAAAGATGCCCAAAAACAAGAAAGAAGAGTTCTTCCTGGGATGCGCCCATGAGCACTGTCATCTTTCCGGCCGCAGCTCCCTGAGTCAATTCTGATTTCCACAATGCTCTTTGTGCCTGGAGATTAGCCTTGGCATTTTTACAAAGCGCTGTTTTTCGAAAATGTCATTTCCCATTTCTCTGTGGCTGGAAGAAAAGGGCTTCTTTGGGAAAACACCATTCGACCCACCAGGCGTGGAGGCTGGGCCTGCGTACTCAGCTGTCATGAGACACCCTGACTTAACGGCTCTCCCGGGCTCACAGAGGGCAGACAAGAGGAGCAGGACAAAGACAGTCAGGTGGATGGACAGAGCCAGGCAGAAGAGGGTGGAGATCCGCTCCTGGCACCATCCGCAACAGCGCCCATGACTAGTGCAGGGCTCCCGGGCTGGGGCCTGAGACCTCGGGGTTCCTTCTCTCTTACAGTGTCTTACCACAGACTAGCTTCCTCAGCCCGGCGCTGTTTCACTTTGGGTTTTATTGCTGTTGTTTGCCTGATAGTTTTGTGTATGTATAGGATGCAGTTCCTCATTTCCACACACACAACTTTTCCCACTCTCATTTCCCCCACCCTGGTCTCTACAGGACCTTTCTTCTCGGCAAGTGCCCCTCCTGTTTCCGTGTCTTGTTGGTTGGTTTGTTTTGCTTTTCTCTGAGTCAGGTTAGGTGACAGTTCTGGCTGTCCTGGAACTCACTTTGTGGACCAGTCTGGCCTCCATCTCCCTGAGTGCTGAGATTTCAAGGTGTGTGCCATCACTACCCAGCTGTCTCTGTCTTCTTTTTTGTGTGTGGTCCACTGGATTATTAAGGTTGTAGTTTATTGACTGATTGACTTAAAGTTGTGGGGTGTGTGTGTGTGTGTGTGTGTGTGTGTGTGTGTGTGAAGAAAAGGTCAGAAGGGTCAGATTCCCTGCAGCTGGGGTTATAGGTGGTGGTGAACTGGTTGATGTGGGTGCTGGGAATCACACTCTGGTCCCCCGGAAGAGCAATACCCTTTTCTCACCGCTGAACTGTCTTTCCAGCCCCTTTGGGTTTTGTATTGAGACAGAGTCCCATGTAGCCCAGACTAGCCTTGAACTCATATGTAGCTAAGAATGACCTTGAACTTCTGATTCACCTGTTCCCCCCTCTGAAAGTGCTCATAGGCATGCTCCATGGTGTGCTGGGGCTTGAACCCAGAGCTTCCTGCATGCTTAGACAAGCGCTCTACCAACTGAGCTGCATCCTAACCCCACAAACCCAGGTCTGCTGCCACATGGGATAGCGCCCTCATCCCTGGCTTGTGCCTCATAACATCCTGTCATCTTTACGGACAATGCTAGCAGTACCCCAGTAAATGGGACAGTTCAAAGTGTCCCCGGGAGCCAGGTGTGTTTGTATTCTCAGCACTTGGGAAGTGACGTTATGAGGGTCAGACATTCCAGGCCAGCCTCAGCTGTCTACTGAAGGCTACGTGAAATCCTGCCTCAAGCAAGCAAACAAAAATGTAGCTCGTTTAAGTGTCTTAGCAGCCATTTGAATATAGGAAGTATACATTAGGTCTTAGTTACACATTTTTTAGATGTTTTTAAATTTTCCTTTATGTGTTTTACCTGCATGTATTCTGCATCGCATACATGTAGTGCCAACGCAGGCCACAGTGACAGTAGGAGGAACTGGGTCTCCTGTACCCCAAAATACTGACAATTCCACAGAGCATACACCTACATTATTTCATTATAGCTGCCTCAGTAGCTACCCACAAACTGGGTTACCCAAACTAGTCGGTGGTTGGTTATGGTGGTACACACCTGTAATCCCAGGGTACTAAGGGAGCTGAGGCAAGAGGATCAAAAGTTAGAGGCTAGCATGAGCTACATGGAGAGATCCATGCCTCAAAACAGAATTGTAAAAAGGGGGTGGGGCCAGGGGTGCAGCACAGAAGCAGAACTCTCCCACCTGGCATGCACAAGGCTTGTGTTCAATCCCCACACCGTATACACATAACAACCAAAAAAGGCTCCATCTGGAGCAGAGTACAGCATGGAGCACTGTGGCATGTGTCTAAAATCACAGCATTGTGGAGGCTGAGACGAGGCAAGGAGATTTCAAGATTAGGCTACAAAATATAAGACTGTGTCTCAACACGTACACACTCCCCAGAGAGAGGGAGGGGGAGGAAGAAGAAGAGAGAGAGAGATGCTCTTACACTAGGGGAGAGGCTGCTTGTGTCTTCCGACTTTAATACTCTTTGGCTCCTGGCTACCTCACCTTGTTCTCTAGCCTATCTCCCCAGGATCTTCTGCTCTGTCTGTGTCATTCAGATGTCTCTCCGCCTCTCCTC